TACACACTTGTACAAACTTTTACACACTTGTACAACCTTGTACACACTTGTACAACATTGTACACACTTGTACATCCTTGTACACAATTGTACAACCTTGTACACAGTTGTACAGCCTTGTACACAATTGTACAACCTTGTACACACTTGTACAACCTTGTACACCCTTGTACACACTTTTACTTATCGTACACACTTGTACACCCTTGTACAAACTTGTACATCCTTGTACACACTTGTACAACCTTGTACAAACTTGTACAAACTTGTACATCCTTGTTCACGATTTTACACCCTTGTACACACTTGTACAACCTTGTAAAAACTTGTACAACCTTGTACACACTTGTACACCCTTGTACACACTTGTACAACCTTGTACACACTTGTACAACCTTGTACACACTTGTACAACCTTGTACACACTTGTACAACCTTGTACACACTTGTACAACCTTGTACACACTTGTACAACCTTGTACACACTTGTACAACCTTGTACACACTTGTACAACCTTGTACACACTTGTACAACCTTGTACACACTTGTACAACCTTGTACACACTTGTACAACCTTGTACACACTTGTACAACCATGTAAAAACTTGTACAACCTTGTACACACTTTACACCCTTGTACACACTTGTACAAGCTTGTACACACTTGTACAACCTTGTACACACTTGTACACCCTTGTACACACTTGTACAACCTTGTACAAACCTGTACACCCTTATACACACTTGTACAAGCTTGTACACACTTGTACAAGCTTGTACACACTTGTACACCTTTGTTCAAACTTGTGCACCCTTGTACACTTTTGTACACCCTTGTACACATTTGTACAACCTTGTACAAACTTGTACACACTTGTACAAACTTGTACACACTTGTACAACCTTGTACAAACTTGTACAACCTTGTACACACTTGTACAACCTTGTACACACTTGTACAAGTTGTACACACTTGTACAACCTTGTACACACTTGTACAACCTTGTACACACTTGTACAACCTTGTACACAATTGTAAAACCTTGTACACACTTGTACAACCTTGTACAAACTTGTACACACTTGTACAAACTTTTACATCCTTGTACACATTTGTACACCCTTGTACACACTTGTACAACCTTGTACAACCTTGTACAAACCTGTACACCCTTGTACACACTTTTACTTATCGTACACACTTGTACACCCTTGTACAAACTTGTACATCCTTGTACAACCTTGTACAACCTTGTACACACTTGTACAGCCTTGTACACAATTGTACAATCTTGTACACACTTGTACAACCTTGTACACCCTTGTACACACTTTTACTTATCGTACACACTTGTACACACTTGTACAACCTTGTACACCCTTGTACACACTTTTACTTATCGTACACACTTGTACACCCTTGTACAAACTTGTACATCCTTGTACACACTTGTACACCCTTGTACACACATGTATAACCAAGATTCAAGATTCAAGATTTTTTTTATTCCAACATATTTTTTACAAAACAATGTTACAAATACAAAATATTACAATGTATTTCTAAATTAACATTAAAAATTTAATTTTAGAACTAGAACTAAATTAAATCATTTACAATAACAAAACAAAAATACAATTCAAACAAATAAGAAAAAATATGTGGTTAGGTATCTCATGAGATTAATCGTGTTGAGATACCATCTCACTCAAAGACAGTAGTGCTGCCACTCCCTAACTAACATTATTTGACTATTAGATACAAAAAATTGATTGAATTTTATGAAAACATAGTTGAGTGCTTTGTAATACTCGCTAAATATTTAAATTAAAAAAAAACTACTAATAAGGGTACCTAATTAGTTAACAAAATTTAGACCTCGAGTTAAATTACAAAAACAAAAACTCCACATCCTCATGGGAAAAGAGCCATACTCTTAAATTAGTTAAAAATTTAGTTAAACTTTTACAAAGGGTTACTTTGAGTGGTAATAGGTTATAAAATTTCAATGAACAAAAAGTAAAAAATCTACGATAAGCTTCGTTATTTGCTTTTAATAGTACAACACGATTTTGCAACCTAAGTCTATTGGAATAAATATTTATATTGCCACATGTATGACCACCTCTTATAAAAAATATCCTTAGAACCCTATATACATACAAATATCTTAAAGGTAAAATATCTAATTGCTTAAAATATAAAAATGTGTGGTCAGTCCTACTAAGTCCAATTATTATTCTTACAACTTTCTTTTGAGCTACTAATAATGAATTAACATTTGAAAAATAGCTTCCACCCCAACAAGTAATACCGTATTGAAGTTTACTGTGTATAATTGAAAAATAAATTATTCTCATGACTTTTACTGGACACATATTTCTTAAGTAATAGAAAGTTCGTATAGCTGATATCATGTATTTATTTAGGTGTTTAATATGTTCACTCCAGCTACAGTTTTTATCTATAAAAATACCCAAATACTTAATATTATCTACACGTTCTATATACATACATCTATCACAAGGAAGAGCGACAGACATTAAGCAGGGAACACATTTATAAGAAATGCGATCAAAGCCTACATTTTTGTCCCTTAGCGAAAATATTATGAATTTGGTTTTATTACTTAGTGTTAATTTGTTGTAAGTAAACCAAATCTTCATCAAATCCAAATCATACTGCATATCAAGCTCCAACAAATGTTGAGAAGGTGAGTTATAACATAGTGCTGTGTCATCAGCAAAACTAGTAAGTGAACCCTTAAATGGACCACAACAAAGACTATTGATAAAAACCAAAAAGAGTATTGGACCCAAAACAGATCCTTGTGGAACGCCACAAACTATTGACTTAAAAGAACTATACACATCCTTAATTTTAACACACTGTACTCTATTTTTTAAGTAGCTTCTAAACCAGTGCCAAATTGAACCTCTGAAGCCAGCAAACCACATAATATTTAGTAATAAATCATGATCGACTGCATCAAATGCCTTCGTTATGTCAACAAATACACCACCAACATTTAATTTATTATTTAATCCTTCGTAAACACTTTTACAAAAATTTAGGAGGGCATCTTCAGTCGAAAGTTTTTCTAAAAATCCAAATTGTTTTTTTGAAAAAAAATTGTTAACGTTTAGAAAACTTAAACATCGCTTCTTCACTGCTTTTTCTAATATTTTTGAAAATACACTAAGAAGAGATATTGGTCTGTAATTATTTAACTCTTTCATATCCCCCTTTTTAAAGAGAGGAATTACAACAGCAGATTTTAATAAATGTGGAAATATACCTTTAATACAACTTAAATTAAACAAAAAAGATAAAACAGGTGAAATAATGTCAGCCAAATGTTTCACAACAAAAGCAGAGATTCCGTCAAACCCTGGTGATTTGTTTGAGTGTAAAGAGTTTATTATAGATTTGATTTCAGAGGTACTCGTTTCATAAAAATAAAATGAGCTCCTAATGTGCCTTACTTTAAAAGAGTTTTTGAATAAATTTTCAATAAATGCATTTGGAGGATCTAAACTCGATTTTAATTTATCATTAACATTAACAAAAAAAGTATTAAACTCTTCTGCAATATTTTTTGCATCAGTAAGAACGACATTTGGATCATTGATGGACACAACTTTTCCAATTTCATTTTTCCCCTTTTTAATTTTATTACCAAGAATGTCATTTATTGTGCGCCATTGTTTTTTAATGTCATTTTTATTTTCCTCGAACAACCGTGAGTAATAATAGTCTTTTCGCACCTGCATATCTAACTTTAATTTATCATTATATTTTTTGAAATAACTTTGAAACCTCTCATCCCCCTGTCTTTTTTTAAACTTTTTATACAACTTATTTCTATATCTCTGCCTTTCACACAAACCAGGGGTCATCCATGGCTTCAAAATTTTTCGATTATAACTATCCCCATGTTGTACAGATATCAAAGAACTATTTATGTTTTCCTTCAGTATATCTAAAAACGTGTTAAACGCTTTATCGACATCATCCATTTGATATATGATAGACCAGTCAACCAATTCAAGGTTACTTTTCAACATTTCATAATTAATTTTCTTAAGACTATTATCTACAGGTTTATTTAAATCGTTGGTTCCAGCTATCTGACATTCACTTTGTTTTAAAACTAAATAACATAGAGAGATATCATGGTCACTACGACCTGAAGGAACAACATCAGAACTATATAAAAATAAATTTTGCTTGGATCTAAAATAGATGTGATCCAGACAGCTTTTGCTATTACCAACTACCCTAGTAGGTTTACTAATAAGTTCATAAAAACCATAGCTAGCCATCAAAGACTGGTATTCAAAAACTTGCAAAGAATATTTAAGGATACAGATATTGATATCACCAGTCAAGATAAGATTATCATCTTTCATATCAACCAGGACGTTATTCAATTCAATTAAAAATTCTGAAACTCGAAAGGCATGTAATCTATAAATAGCGATAACAGACAATGATACATTCCGATCAACAGTAATAGTAACCTTGACCGCATCCGCACTTTCCATATTTATCTGATCTTCAACGGCTGAATATTTTTGTGCAACATAAATTACAACACCACCAGACCTGTAGTGATCATTGCATTTTGAAACAAGGTTGTAACCATCAATATTAAATCTATTAATTTCTGAATTTTCTATCCATATTTCTGTAAGAATAATTATGTCTGGTCGTTTTAACAAAGAATTAAGAAATGCTACAAAGTTGTCAAAATTTTCCCTTAAACTTCTAATATTTTGATTAATTAGAGTAATAGCTTCCACACCTACTTCAGAAAATAATTGATCAACCAACACAAAAGAATCCTCTAGATTGTCACATGAATTAAATGAACTATCGCTGTCTAAGCTCATTCAAACATAACACTTTAAGAACAAATATAAAACTATACACACAATAAGTACTAAGAAAACATACCAAAGTATTTCTGATCGTAAGTGATTGTAACAATCATCTTTACAGCTTAGCAACATCGTCCATTGACGTTATCACACACACAGACGATGATTGATCCTTCCTCATCAATATTTTTCCGTTGCGGATCCACAGATACGTGTAGTTTTTGTCCTTCTTTGCCTGTCGGGCCGCAGTGTACACCTTCCTACGCCCAGGGCACAAGTTTTCATTTATGTAGATTGGAACGGCCGGCTGCGACAGTCCGAGATCATTTGTGTTGAAGTTTCGCTTTACGCGCCTTTTTTGCAAGAGATTGAGTTTGTCCTCACGACGAACGAATCTAGCAATGATAGTTGGGGGGCCGTCGTAACCCGTCCTTTTCCCTAACCTGTGACACACATCAATAGCCTCCCTCTCGATGGATAATCCCAAGGCGTTGGCGACAGTCTTTACAGTCTCGTACACATCTTCATTACTTTTTTCCGGAACTCCATGGATTTCAACATTATTAGATCTAATATACTGCTCACTATCATCCAATTTTACCTCCAATTCCCTAACTTTTTTACTTAAATTCACATTTTCCTGTTTAAGTCCCTCAATAACAGACATGTACTCACTTAATTTTTGTGACTGCACATTTAAGGCTTCCTTTTGATCTTTGACCAAGTTATGCAAAAATTCAAACGAACTAGTCATATCTTTTTCCATCCGCTTGCGGTCTTCTTTTGCTTCTTCTAACATAAAAACTATCTGCTCGATACTTGCCTTACCTTCTTCCGCATCTTTCACCGCCTGCATACTTTGTCTTCTAGATTTCGCACATGGTGGGCATCGCCAAATCTGTTTTTCACTTGTAATGATATCAAGTTCTTCTTTCGTCATGTTAACACATTTAAGATGACAACTTTTACCACACTCAGAACACGCAATAACTAGATTGCGCTGCTGCAATTTGTTGTTACACACTACACAGTTTCCCGACATATTTGAACAGAGGAAAAAAAACGTACACTTGAATTTATTTGCGTAAAACACTTTACATTAATAAAAATGTAACAATAAAATAATAAAGCACTCTTTCTACTTGATTTAAATAACTGACTATAACATTATCAATGAAAGATAACTGAAAAGATAAGGGAGCGCTCGGCACTAGCGTCTGACCCGCACGACGTCTGAGTCATTACTGACCTTGTACACAACTTGTACAACCTTGTACACACTTGTACAACCTTGTAAAACTTGTACACCCTTGTACAAACTTGTACACCCCTGTACACACTTGTACACATTTGTACACACTTGTACACCCTTGTACACACTTGTACAACCTTGTACAAACTTATACAATCTTGTACACACTTGTACAACCCAGTACACAACTTGTACAACCTTGTACACACTTGTACAACCTTGTAAAACTTGTACACCCTTGTACAAACTTGTACACCCCTGTACACAATTGTACACATTTGTACACACTTGTACACCCTTGTACACACTTGTACAACCTTGTACAAACTTATACAATCTTTTACACACTTGTACAACCCAGTACACACTTGTACAATCTTGTACAAACTTGTACATCCTTGTACACGATTGTACACCCTTGTACACACTTGTACAACCTTGTAACCACTTGTACAACCTTGTACACAATTGTACAACCTTGTACACACTTGTACAACCTTGTACACACTTGCACAACTTTGTACACACTTGTACAGTCTTGTACACAATTGTACAACCTTGTACACACTTGTACAACCTTGTACACACTTGTACAACCTTGTACACAATTGTACAGCCTTGTACACACTTGTACAGCCTTGTACACACTTGTACAACCTTGTACACACTTGTACAGCCTTGTACACAATTGTACAACCTTGTACACACTTGTACAGCCTTGTACACACTTGTACAACCTTGTACACAATTGTACAGCCTTGTACACACTTGTACAACCTTGTACACACTTGTACAACCTTGTACACACTTGTACAACCTTGTACACACTTGTACAACCTTGTACACACTTGTACAACCTTGTACACACTTGTACAACCTTGTACACACTTGTACAACCTTGTACACACTTGTACAACCTTGTACACACTTGTACAACCTTGTACACACTTGTACAACCTTGTACATTCTTGTACAACCATGTACACACTTGTACAATCATGTAAAAACTTGTACAACCTTGTACACACTTGTACACCCTTGTACACACTTGTACAAGCTTGTACACACTTGTACAACCTTGTACACACTTGTACACCCTTGTACACACTTGTACAACCTTTTACAAACTTGTACACACTTGTACAAACTTGTACATTATTGTACATACTTGTACACCCTTGTACACACTTGTACAACCTTGTACAAACCTGTACACCCTTGTACACACTTGTACAAGCTTGTACACACTTGTACAAACTTGTACACACTTGTACAACCTTGTACAAACTTGTACAACCTTGTACACACTTGTACAACCTTGTACACACTTGTACAAGCTTGTACACACTTGTACACACTTGTACAAGCTTGTACACACTTGTACAAGTTGTACACACTTGTACAACCTTGTACACACTTGTACAACCTTGTACACACTTGTACAACCTTGTACAAACTTGTACAAACTTGTACAACCTTTTCATCCTTGTACACATTTGTACACCCTTGTACACATTTGTACAACCTTGTACAAACCTGTACACCCTTGTACACACTTGTACAAGCTTGTACACGATTGTACACCCTTGTACACACTTGTGCACCCTTGTACACACTTGTACACCCTTGTACACACTTGTACAACCTTGTACAAACTTGTACACTTGTACAACATTGTACAAACCTGTACACCCTTGTACACACTTGTACAACCTTGTACACACTTGTACAAACTTGTACCCCCTGTTACAACCTTGTACACACTTGTACAACCTTGTACACACTTGTACAGCCTTGTACACAATTGTACACCCATGTACACAATTTAAAAACTTGTACACACTTGTACAACCTTGTACACACTTGTACAACCTTGTACACACTTGTACAACCTTGTACACACTTGTACAACCTTTTACACACTTGTACAACCTTGTACAAACTTGTACAAACTTGTACACACTTGTACACCCTTGTACACACTTGTAAAAGCTTGTACACACTTGTACAACCTTGTACACACTTGTACAACCTTGTACACAATTGTATAACCTTGTACACACTTGTACAACCTTGTACAAACTTGTACAAACTTGTACACACTTGTACACCCTTGTACACACTTGTAAAAGCTTGTACACACTTGTACAACCTTGTACACACTTGTACAACCTTGTAAAAACTTGTACAACGTTGTACACACTTGTACACCCTTGTACACACTTGTACAACCTTGTACACACTTGTACAACCTTGTACACACTTGTACAACATTGTACACACTTGTACAACCTTGTACACACTTGTACAACCTTGTACACACTTGTACAACCTTGTACACACTTGTACAACCTTGTACGCACTTGTACAACCTTGTACACACTTGTACAACCTTGTACACACTTGTACAACCTTGTACACACTTGTACAACCTTGTACACACTTATACAACCTTGTACACACTTGTACAACCATGTAAAAACTTGTACAACCTTGTACACACTTTACACCCTTGTACACACTTGTACAAGCTTGTACACACTTGTACAACCTTGTACACACTTGTACACCCTTGTACACACTTGTACAACCTTGTACAAACCTGTACACCCTTATACACACTTGTACAAGCTTGTACACACTTGTACAAGCTTGTACACACTTGTACACCTTTGTTCAAACTTGTGCACCCTTGTACACTTTTGTACACCCTTGTACACATTTGTACAACCTTGTACAAACTTGTACACACTTGTACAAACTTGTACACACTTGTACAACCTTGTACAAACTTGTACAACCTTGTACACACTTGTACAACCTTGTACACACTTGTACAAGTTGTACACACTTGTACAACCTTGTACACACTTGTACAACCTTGTACACACTTGTACAACCTTGTACACAATTGTAAAACCTTGTACACACTTGTACAACCTTGTACAAACTTGTACACACTTGTACAAACTTTTACATTCTTGTACACATTTGTACACCCTTGTACACACTTGTACAACCTTGTACAACCTTGTACAAACCTGTACACCCTTGTACACACTTTTACTTATCGTACACACTTGTACACCCTTGTACAAACTTGTACATCCTTGTACAACCTTGTACAACCTTGTACACACTTGTACAGCCTTGTACACAATTGTACAATCTATTAAGTTACATTTCATTAAGTTACATTTTCCTAAGTTACATTTTACTAAGTTATATTTTTTATTAAGTTACATTTCATTAAGTTACATTTTATAAAGTTACATTATACTAAGTTACATTTTTTATTAAGTTACATTTCATAAAGTTACATTTTATTAAGTTACATTTTACTAAGTTACATTTTATTAAGTTACATTTTACAAAGTTACATTTTACTAAGTTACATTTTTTATTAAGTTACATTTTATTAAGTTACATTTTACTAAGTTACAATTTACTAAGTTACATTATACTAAGTTACATTTTTTATTAAGTTACATTTCATTAAGTTACATTTTATTAAGTTAGATTTTATTAAGTTACATTTTCCTAAGTTACATTTTACTCAGTTACATTTTTTATTAAGTTACATTTTATTAAGTTACATTTTATTAAGTTACATTTTCCTAAGTTACAATTTACTCAGTTACATTTTTTACTAAGTTACATTTTATTAAGTTACATTTTACTAAGTTACATTATACTAAGTTACATTTTACTAAGTTACATTTTACTAAGTTACATTTTTTATTAAGTTACATTTTATTAAGTTACATTTTATTAAGTTACATTTTACTAAGTTATATTTTATAAGTTACATTTTTTATTAAGTTACATTTCATTAATTACATTTTATTAAATTACATATTACTAAGTTACATTTTATTTAGTTACATTTTACAAAGTTACATTTTACTAAGTTACATTTTGTATTAAGTTACATTTTATTAAGTTACATTTTACTATGTTACATTTTACTAAGTTACATTTTATTAAGTTACATTTTATTTAGTTACATTTTACAAAGTTACATTTTACTAAGTTACATTTTTTATTAAGTTACATTTCATTAAGTTACATTTTATTAAGTTAGATTTTATTAAGTTACATTTTCCTAAGTTCCATTTTACTCAGTTACATTTTTTATTAAGTTACATTTTATTAAGTTACATTTTACTAAGTTACATTTTACTAAGTTACATTTTACTAAGTTACATTTTTTATTAAGTTACATTTTATTAAGTTACATTTTATTAAGTCACATTTTACTAAGTTACATTTTACTAAGTTACATTATACTAAGTCACATTTTACTAAGTTACATTTTACTAAGTTATATATTTTATTAAATTTCATTTTATTAAGTTACATTTTATTAAGTTACATTTAACTAAGTTACATTTTATTAGGTTACATTTTATTAAGTTACATTTTACTAAGTTACATTTTACTAAGTTACATTTTTTATTAAGTTACATTTTATTAAGTTACATTTGATTAAGTTACATTTTACTAAGTTTTTACTAAGTTACATTTTTTATTAAGTTACATTTCATTAATTACATTTTATTAAGTTACATATTACTAAGTTACATTTTATTTAGTTACATTTTACAAAGTTACATTTTACTAAGTTACATTTTTTATTAAGTTACATTTTATTAAGTTACATTTTACTATGTTACATTTTACTAAGT